ACTCCTTGGATGTTAAGTTCTATTTGACGTACGTTCTCAAACAGAGCTTCCCAATAGATATACAAAATAAATTATGCTATTAAACTAATTTTATAATTAAAAAAAACCACCTACAAATAACTATAAAAAATTAACTTGAAAAAATTGAAAAATGAGTTTCCAAAATAATACCATACCTTTTTATTGAGGTGACGAAGAAAACTCGAAACGTCGGGGTTTAAATATAAATAATAATTGTATTTTACGGTTAATAAAAATTATATTATTCATTTTTTTTAATAGAAGTATGGCTATTGTAAATATGGTGTATAACTTAATTAATTACTTTATATAAGTACTACTAAACGACCCAATATATACTCGTGTAAGATACAATGAAAAAGTTCTTACAATTCGAACAACGGAATTAATTAATTACGTATATTAATCGTTATCTCATAACACATAAACATTATATCGGTTAAAGTGTATTTATAGACGTTGAATAATTTTTTTAAATAAAAATACTGTAAAATAGTATTGAATCTTACCTTGAGGTATAATATAATTCAAATATTCTTCATTGATCATCTTACAATACTGGATTAGCTTGAAGATATAGCAAATATCAATAGGTGATTAAAAATTATGTCAATTATTTTTTATCAGTTTCTACCGACACTTTTCTTTCTTTAAAATCACTTCAAATGATCCAAATGACGCTATTATTTGTACAACAACCTTTTTTATAACAATTATTCTATCAGAAAACCTAATATGTTTAATATCTTCCATATTTTCATCACTGATGGTCACGTCGAAACGCCCACAATTCGTATTATATTTAATGGGTCCACGACTTCTCTGAAACTAGACAAACATTGTTTAAGGTATTGTAAGGACGGAATTTTGTACAAATTCCGCCCTACATAAAACTTATTATTTTTTATTAAAAATCGTCTGGATAAAACTCGATTTATATATTTAAACAAATAAACAAAGCCAACCGCGAACATACGCACAAACGACACGCAAAACAAAGCCAACCGCGAACATACGCACAAACGACACGCAAAACGAAGCCAACCGCGAACACACGCACACACGACAAGCAAAACAAAGCCAACCGCGAATTACACTTGTGCGGTTGTGCGTGCATTTAAGCAAAGCAAAGTGTCGTATATAAATAGCGGAGATTTTATATGAAAGATCACTTAGCACCGGCACACCGAAGTGAGTAGATCACTACTCCAGCGCTAAGTCCCTTTTTAGAAGCCCATGGTGTTTCGACGCTAAGGCTTAATAAATCAGTAGAAGGTATTGGATAGATTTTATAAACGCCTTTGATGTTTTGACGTCTTTGGCTAGAAACTAATTACGTAGATTTGGAAAAAACCCTTTGATGTTCTGACGTCTTTGGGTAAAAATTATTGAATAGATTTTATAAACGCCTTTGATGTTTTGACGTCTTTGGCTAGAAACTAATTACGTAGATTTGGAAAAACCCTTTGATGTTCTGACGTCTTTGGATAAAACTTACTGAGTAGAATCAAGACTAGAATAAGTTATTTAAGAAAACTTTAAATAAATTTTAAATAATAAAAGCAAACGGTCTTTTACTTTCCACTCATTGGTTTACCAGCTTCGAACTAGTCAATAAAACAAATTTATTGCAACGACCCGGACCGCGACTGAGTAATACCTCAGCAGAATTAAAACGACGAATCCGTGTCGTTACAATTGGCGCCCGAGCAGGGACTTGTGTTCGATAGTATTCCAAGTGGGAAGAAAAGAATTACCAGGGACCTGATTGGTCAAATCACAGTGGTCAAGGCTCAAATGGAAATTTAAGATCCAGAGGATAAGATATTAACAAATATCACAAGAAGAAATAATGTCGATGGGATCGAGAGGAATACCAGGAACATGTGGAAGTTCAATAAATCCTCCAGTGCGCTCCTACCTTCAGATGGTTGAAGAGGTACAGAAGTGGTCCTGTAAATATGACGGTGGTAAGGATCCACTAGATTTCATCGATCACATAGAGGAACTGGCGGCTATGTACAGTATCGATGTAAATCTAATTCCCAAGATGATGCCAATACTCTTTGAAGACAAAGCATTAAGATGGTACCGTAACAACCATAAACCTTGGCTCCTCTGGTCAAGCTTCAAGGAAGATTTCTTCAAATTCTTCATATCATGTAGATATTTCGAAAACTTAGAAAATGAGGTACGAACACGACTACAAAAGACAAAAGAAAGTTTCAAGGATTACTCACTTGACATTATAAATCTAATGCGTCACACTGGCATGGATCCAGGTTCGCAATTGGAGCGGGTGTATCGAAACATGAAGGCAGACTACCGGATGTACATTAAACGTTCAGAGTTTACAAGCCTAAATGAATTAACAACACTTGCCGATGACTTCGAAGAACTAAGTACAGAACAGGATAAAGTGAGCCGTAATCGTGTCCGTGAAGTGAACGTAGGGCGCATGATAGTCGAGTCCCCTCAAGCGATGGTGGTACAAAATACAATGAGAAGCATACCCAATATGCCAGCACGGGATAAAATTATCCATAGTCTAAGCTTCGAGTCGTCCATTCCTGATCAGAAACGAAGGAATCAGCCTCAGAACCAATCAACCGCTAAGCAAGCAACAGCATTTATAACTGGAAATGTGACTTCAGCATCACTACCAAAGTCAAGCATAACGACACGACGCGTACAACCTCGAGATTATTTAAAAGCCCAGCAAGAAAATCTACAAGAGCAGACACCTTGTAGGTGCTTAGTACCACCGCGTCAGCGAAGTTCAAAACTCATCACAGAGTCGAAAAGTCAGAGTCCAGATGTACAGCGTCAGGAAAATTTAAAACTCATCACAGAGTCGAAAAGTCAGAGTCCAGATGTACCACGTCTACGAAATTTAAAACTCATCACAGAGTCGAAAAGTCAGAGTCCAGATGTACCGCGTCAGCGAAGTTCAAAACTCATCACAGAGTCGAAAAGTCAGAGTCCAGATGTACCACGTCTACGAAATTTAAAACTCATCACAGAGTCGAAAGGTCAGAGTCCAGATGTACCGCGTCAGCGAAGTTTAAAACTCATCACAGAGTCGAAAAGTCAGAGTCCAGATGTACCGCGTCAGCGAAATTCAAAACTCAACACAGAGTCGAAAAGTCAGAGTCCAGAAGTACCGCGTCAGCGAAGTTTAAAACTCAACACAGAGTCGAAAAGTCAGAGTCCAAAAGTACCGCGTCAGCGAAGTTTAAAACTCAACACAGAGTCGAAAAGTCAGAGTCCAAAAGTACCGCGTCAGCGAAGTTTAAAACTCATCCCAGAGTCGAAAAGTCAGAGTCCAGATGTACCACGTCTGCGAAATTTAAAACTCAACACAGAGTCGAAAACTCAAAGTCCAGATGTACCACGTGAGCAGGATTACACCAGTACACATCAAGATGAATTCCTCAAAGTTTTTAGGAATCCTAGAAAGCGGACACGAAACCATTCAACGAAGTAGTCGAGTTCAAATCCCCCGAAGAAGGAGGGAAATGTAAGGACGGAATTTTGTACAAATTCCGCCCTACATAAAACTTATTATTTTTTATTAAAAATCGTCTGGATAAAACTCGATTTATATATTTAAACAAATAAACAAAGCCAACCGCGAACATACGCACAAACGACACGCAAAACAAAGCCAACCGCGAACATACGCACAAACGATACGCAAAACGAAGCCAACCGCGAACACACGCACACACGACAAGCAAAACAAAGCCAACCGCGAATTACACTTGTGCGGTTGTGCGTGCATTTAAGCAAAGCAAAGTGTCGTATATAAATAGCGGAGATTTTATATGAAAGATCACTTAGCACCGGCACACCGAAGTGAGTAGATCACTACTCCAGCGCTAAGTCCCTTTTTAGAAGCCCATGGTGTTTCGACGCTAAGGCTTAATAAATCAGTAGAAGGTATTGGATAGATTTTATAAACGCCTTTGATGTTTTGACGTCTTTGGCTAGAAACTAATTACGTAGATTTGGAAAAAACTCTTTGATGTTCTGACGTCTTTGGGTAAAAATTATTGAATAGATTTTATAAACGCCTTTGATGTTTTGACGTCTTTGGCTAGAAACTAATTACGTAGATTTGGAAAAACCCTTTGATGTTCTGACGTCTTTGGATAAAACTTACTGAGTAGAATCAAGACTAGAATAAGTTATTTAAGAAAACTTTAAATAAATTTTAAATAATAAAAGCAAACGGTCTTTTACTTTCCACTCATTGGTTTACCAGCTTCGAACTAGTCAATAAAACAAATTTATTGCAACGACCCGGACCGCGACTGAGTAATACCTCAGCAGAATTAAAACGACGAATCCGTGTCGTTACAGTATTAAATGCTTTTCTGCACTAAGTTCTACTTAAATTTCATTAAACGTTCTGATTCGACATTTCGCCATACAAAAAATCATCGATAACACACCAATATAGCTACGTCTTCCTCTATCGATCGGGAAGCACAAACTAAGCATCACATTCATCTGATGGTTAATACATACACTGCTGATAGTGGAATCAATATACAACAACAGACCCGACTCGATAAACAGGATACAGTGTATACGATTTCGATATTCTTATTACATCTTAATCACATTTCGTATAATCTTTACAATCATTTGTAATATAGATGATTAAGGCACATAATCTCGTGTAGAGTAGAGCAATCTCGCCACAAATGTAATACTTAAGAAATAATATATTTCCTAAATTTCCGAGGAACCGTAAAGTTTACATTAAATGACATTGCCAAATAATTTAAAAAAATTGATCCATAAATTGTTATAAAACTCCTTCGTAACAATTTGTGGTTTCTCAAAAGCCAAAACCAAATAAAATTGAGAACTAACATATATAATCTAGTAGTCCACTGAGTAAAGTTTTTTTATTTATTAAAAAAAAAATATTCAGATACAATCAATTGTTTTTGTTGTTTCAAGAAAATTTAAAACAAATTTTTTTTTTCAGTTAAACATTTCCAATGAAAAATTTCAGTTAATAAAATTCTTAGTGAAAACGTTTTAGAGATAAAAAGTAGAAAATCATGGATAAAGAAGACGTTTATGACTTTTTGGATATTGCATCTATTTATGATAAAACTGGACGCATACTTGAGGCTGAGTTTCTTTATCAAAAAATTGTTCCACATTTAGTTGATGAATACATTTATAAAAAGTGCAAGAAGGATAAAACTGCATGCTATGGACCAATTAGGGACTCTATAGAACGAATTGGACTTATCCGTCATCACATCAACAATTTACTTTTGAATAGACATCTCATAGTAGAATTCGAAATCCAAAATGATGACATTATACAAGGTTATGGTCAACTTTTTGGTAAGTATCTACAAACAAATCTTAAAGAGATGATCTTAGAAGAACCGCAACTCAGTAAAGAGCATGAAATAAAAAATCTATTCAGATTTTTCAAAGCTGTTACTCTCAAATGCAGACAACTGTCATTTGTGAAAATCTGCACCAAACCTGCAGAGCAGGATGCGGACAAGCAGCATGAACTCTTACAGAAGTTGGTGTATGCCTTCAATGACAAACGTAAAGTTGGTATGAAAATTGATTTTAAACCAGATTTAGAGAAAACGAAAATGATTCTTAGCAATGGTTATATGATAACCTTAAGTACTGGCTTACATATCTTTAAGAAAGAGAGACTGAGGACATTAAGTTACGTCACACCCAGCTTATTCGCTATCAAACCAAAGTATAATCAACTAGGTCA